TAAATTTGTCTCATTAAATTCAAAATTGAAATGAACGTAGCTCTTTCAATAAACATTGCTATATGTTTTATGTATTAAGACTTTTACCGAAAAATAGGACACAGAAGAAGAGACAAGATTGAAAAAGGAGGAATTGCATGTTGCATTTTCTTTTAGTTCAGTTGTAAGATCTTCATTAAAACACACTGCTCTGGTAAATTAGTTTAAAGTGACGATGAGTGAAATGTGTACCGTCTTTAATGAAAATAAGAGTTGTTTCAACGAACTTTCTTATTAAATTCCCAGTTTTGTACTCATGGAAGTCATTACCAAGGGGTTTCTGCTATTAAAAGATCCCATGTTTTACAGATATATTTAAAAAAAAAGTTTCTTCCTATTTTGAAAGGAACAAAAGATCCTCAAAAGATAAAACATCTGCTGACGGACGGGATCGAACCGGCGACCAATGGCTTATTAGACCAACGCTCTACCGACTGAGCTACGCCAGCTTCACATTGACCTTATTATCCTTAATTAAATTCCTTAAATACCAATTAAAATACAAAATTGTTAAAAGCTTCCGATGAGACGGAATCGAACCGCCGACCACAGGATGACAGTTGTTCTTGCTACAGTCCCATGCTCTACCAGCTGAGCTATCATCGGTTACATTAAATAACTAACAGCAAAAGTTATCTCCCATACGTAACCTCTGATTTTTTCAATTTTTCATAAATATATTAATACATATCAAAAAGGACCATAAAAGGATTTGTCAAAGTTATTTTTTAATTTTTTTTAAACTTGGATTGAGTAAGGTGGCAGAAATGTAATTGGTATCATCTTCCTCCTTCTTTCTTTTCCGTGTAACCTCCTTTATAGATATTTCAGCATCAATATCATCACCATGTTCTTCTCTAATTCCTACCAGTGCAGCAATTTCTTCCTTACTCCTCATTATATCGTTCAATTCCTTTTGAGAGACATCCATTTCAGTTAGTTCCTCACCCTTGTCTACTCCATCCTTACCAAGGAAATATGGCAAAGTGCTCAAGTGAGTATGTCCAGAAATTAAGGCCTCCTCTGAGACACCTTGCAATAGAAGTTTTTCCATCTCCAACACATCTGACTCTATCATAGCAGTTGGTAAAGTTTCACTATTAGATATTCCTGAAAGAGAATTTTGAATTCTTTGCTTGGCAAGCATGACTATGGCCTTTTTCCTTTCCTTTTCTAGTTGAGCCTTGATAAATGCAGGTGGCATTGGACTTGGGAGTTGAGAATTAATTATTGATATCTCCTTAGCCAATTTACCCTTTGTCAATCCCAAAATTCTCTGAATATTACCCTTCACTATATGTTCTGGCAAAGCAGATTCCTCAGTTTTTGTTTCAGATACAAACGACTGATTGAACGTATTATTATTCGATGGAGAATCCGAGCTTGAGCTCGCCGAAGATTCATCATCAATTCTGGTTCTCTGTAAATCTCTGAGTTGTTCAACTACATCGAGAATAAATGGTAAATGTCTTGGAAGTGTTTTGAGTGTGATTTCATGAGCCCAAGGGAGTTGTTTCGAAAGGTTCATTAAAAGCTGCTTGAGCTCGTTAAATCTTTCTCTTATTGTAGCCTCTCCTACATGTGTAGATCTCGCAACTTCTGATAATTTCATATCAATCGAGCATGATTGTAATGCAAGTAAAAGAGCAGCTGCAACCAGAGCAATAGGTCTTCTCCCTGAATCTAAACATTCTTTCATAGCAACTCTAATAATTCTTCTCATCCTCAAATTGATATCTGTTTTAGTCTTGATATTAACTTGCCCATTTTCATCTGTGAAACAATCAGAAAATTCATTAGTCATTCTATCACATAAAGTTTCCAAATCCAATGGATCCACTTGAATATTAAAAGTTTTACAAATTTCCTTGTATTTTCTTCCCAGCTCAAAAATACTGTATCCTGTTACTTCTGAAAGATCCAAAAGTGTTATTGGTAGTTTTTCGCGTCTACACACTACATAGAGAGCTCCAGCTATCACACCATCCATCCACTTTTCTTTTGTGTATTTGAATTTGATAATATCGCTTGATTCTGATTCTTCCTCCTTTTTCGTTGTCTTTTCTTGTTGCTTTGTTGAAAGTAAAGTGGATTGAAATCTTTGTTTCATTAAATTTAAGCTATGTTCTCTTGGGTCATCCTCAAATTTAGTTTCATCAGTACTACTAGGTAAAGGATCAAAATCTCTTTCTGGACTAAACCCATCACTAGATGATTCTAATTTGGCTTTAGTTGGTATTTCATCAAAATTTTCCTCATCTGATGCAAATTCATCAAAATCTATCACTTCTTGAGTACCTAAATTATAGATACATCCAGCACTACCACCACTTTGTGAGTCTGGTGATCCAATCTTATTACTGTGAACTTTCTTTTCTGATTTTTTTGTTGTTACATTATTTGGTTTTTCTGCCATTTTACAAACAAAATTCATTACTTCTGGAAGGTAACGATTTGGTAATTTCAAAGCACTCAATAATTTTGCAGTTCTAATTTCAGCCTTCTTTTTGGCACCCAATTGTCTTTGTAATCTGGCTTGAGCTTTAGAATTTTGACCATGAATGATTGCACTTGGATCGGATGATGTTGCCATCAAATAGGCTCCAAAAAAGCCTTCATCATTAGAAACATGTCGTCCAATCTTTTTCGAATTATCCTTATCAAATTCTATTTCTTCTCTAAATATTGATATTGGTTGTGATGAAGATGTTACTTGTGTTCCACATTTACTACAAACTTCATAATTAAATTCATCGGATTCAATATATTCTGATGATGCTCCACAATGTTTACAACTACCATCATCATAGTAACCAAAATTTGACTGTTGTACTCCATGATTTTTCTTAATCCCATACATTGTTTCCATATCATCCGAATCATTATATTCCCCTCCTAGAGAGTGATCGTAATAGGGCAGGTTGATGTTGTTGTGCATTTTTTTTTAGTTCAAAAATGAAAAAATTATTTGAACATGAAGAAGAAGGTTAGAATTGGGATTTGAAACTGACAATAGCTAAAATTAAAATTTAAACTTTTACACTTCACCTTTTCGTATTTAAATGTATCATCGACTAGTACCGGTACTCTTTGATTAAATCCGAGAATTATTCAATTTTTATTGTGCAAGTTATTGTCAAAACAATTTTCCCGCCAAAATGAAATGTTTATTTTATTCAAATTAAAAAAATGAGTCAACAACAACCTTCAACACCAAATAACAATAATAGGGAATTAATCACAACACCAACAGGAGAAGTGATCAGCGTGGCAACACCTTTAGAATTATATTTTTCTCAAAATTTTATGGGTAATGAGCCAATGTATAGAGTGTTTGAACTTCCCGATGATTTTGATATTGATGGATATTTGGAATCTGTTGGAGGCTCATCCGATATTATGCAAGATGAAGATGAGATTTTAAAAATTGAACAAGATTTGGATTCTTTACCAACAGCATTCTACATCAAGGGTGAAAATAATAGTCCAGCTTTTTTGTGTACAGACTCTAATAGTTTTGAAATTACTCGAGTTGACACTTCTAATACTGTATTAATTTTGGATCCAAGTAGTGGTGAAATACATGGAAGAGTATCCTGTACCTATGAAATAACACCTTCTGTGGTCAAATTGAAAGAAGATATTGAGAAAATATTACCATACTATCCAAAGAATGGTATTAGTGAATCAGAGACAATTACTGGCAATGTAAAATTTAGATCTGAAAATAAGAAGGAAGCTCTCACTTTGGAGGAATTAGAGTCTTGTATCAAAGCCAGTAGAAATGAAATACTGAACTGCTTAACATATGAATGTCATGCAATTTGTAATGACAGAACAAATCGTTGGTATTTATTAGATCAAAAATTATTCTTCCAAATTTATGAACTATTGCTATTAATGCTCGCAGAAACCTCTTTTTCAACCAAATTAGCTTTAGATAGAGAAAATGTTAAAAAAGAGCTTGGTGGTGAATATGATCATCTCTTACTTGAACACTGTCTTGACCTTCTATCATCACAACCATCCTTCAACTCTACTGTTGAACTTGATATCAATAAGATTTGTATATTTAATGCTATTTCATTATTCAATACTCATAATAAGTGGAGACTAAAAGACTTCCAAAATACTTGGGATGAATCAATGAATTCATTCCAACAAGCTCTAAATTATAGAAATCCAGATATTTCACTTTTAATCTCACAAGGATATTGTGTCTTGGTTGAAGAAGAAAAGAATTTATCGAAAGAAAACACAATGATTCACTTTTTAGATAGAAGAGATTTACCATCTCAATACAAAGAAAGACTCACAAGAATGTTCAAATGCAAACCAAAATGGACCTTTAACGAAATTTTAATTTATTTTTCTGAACTAATGCTCTCTAAAAGTGAAAACGCACTTCATCAAGAGTTGGAAACATTGCTGAAGAAGCATTGCAAGATCCAACAATCAGTTTTGAAAAAGGAAAAGTTTTACTTGATGAAATAATTTTGTAAACAACTTAAAAAAAATGAATGAATACGTTTTTCTGTACATTTTGTTGAATAGTCTTGTGTGGGGCATGACAAATCCACTCCTCAAATACTATGGAAGTGCATCATTTGAAGAAAAAGAAGATAGCCCAAAATCTTTTTTAAATCAAATATTTAATCAAATTATTTCATTATTTAAAAATTACAAATTTGTTATTACTCAATTAATCAATTGGTGTGGATCAATCATGTTTGTATTAATTCTTGGCCATACCAATCTTACAACGTAAGTTTACAAAACAAGTTAATTTTAACACCAATTAGTGCTGTAATTAGTGTTAATTCATTGACTTGTGTCATAACAGAGTTGACAGATATTTACATTTTAGGACATTCTAGGAAAAATAAAATACAAATCTATACTGGAATATCATTAATATTACTAGGGATTTTAATTTGTAATCCAATCCAATAAAGACTTATTCATTCATCTTAACACTTCCATCAACTTGTCTTTGTGGAAAATATTGTACACTACCATGTAAAGAATCTTTCATATATTTCTGAAAAGCAGAATTACCAGGCGCTATATAGACTGGTTGATTCGTTGCTGTTGTTACTATTGTACCATTCATACCATTCATAATATTGTTATTCATACTATTAATACCCATATTATTGTTATTATTATTATTACTAGTCATGACAACATTATTCATTGTCATATTACCATTTGATGATATTAATTGTTGTTGTTGTTGTTGTTGTTGTTGATTATTAACTAAATTACTTTGAATTAAATTCTTCCATCTCCCAATACCAATTTTCAGTAAATCATCTAAAGTTTCCACTTGATATTCAAAAGTTTGTTGTTCAAATACAAATTTGTCTCCGTGATTAAAAGGATGTTGTGATTGCATTTGTTGTTGATATAATTTAAGCAGAATATCATTGGAAAGATTCTGAAGTACAGGATTTTTAGAATTGGCTGTTGCTTGATTAGAAAACATGGTCAGGTCGAAAAGTCCACTTCCACTATTGTTTTTTACATTGAGTGATGTCATTGTTGTGGAAGAAGGTTGAGTTGAGACTGTTGATGAATTATTGACAAGATTCAGGATACCACCTGGACCAATGGTGGCACCATTATTATTGTTATTAACATGAAATGAATTACCATTACTTGAAATATGTAATGATGATTGATCCTGTTGTTGCATGATTATTATTATTATTATTAGGAATTACAATGGTTGGAGTATTCGAAGAGGATAATGGGTTTTGTGTCACTGCTGCATTCATTGTCAAGTTTGATTGATTATTTCTCGTCACTGCCGTAGAGGCAATGTTATTGTTATTATTGTTTGCTAACATCATATGATTCGTGGTATTATTAGGAGATTGGACAATATTTCCATCACCCGATGATGTGGTTTTTAATTGATTCAATTGTTGTAATAGTCTTTGTAAATATAATTGTTGTAGATTGGGTGGTAATGTTTGTATATGTTTGAGTAGTTGCATAGTTTGACTATTTGGATTAGAGGAGGCTATTTGTTGAAGAGTTGAAAATACATTAATATTATTACTATTACCACCAGGGGAAATTGATGAAGGAGGAGGCATACTTTGATCATTAAACATCATTCCATTGTTATTATTATTATTATGTAGTAGGGTTTGAGGCGTGAGAGGAGAACTAGTGGAAGATGGAGGAGATGATCTTTGAGTATTGTTATTATGATTCATCATTAAATTATTATTCATTATTGTTATTAGGTTAAAGTAGTGATGTTGTAGTAGAGAGGTGGTGAAGTGAATATATTATTAATTATTGATTCTTGCTGTAATTAATAATTGATGAAGGTGATGATGATGGATAATCTAGATTTCAATGAAACAATGTACAGCACAATTACTTGATGAAATATTACTCTCTCCAGTTAATCTGTTGTGTGTGAGAGTGGCTATATGAAATTCGTCTCAATGTTGCTGCTAACACGTGTAAGAATACAATGTGTGCTATTCAAAGTATGATGTAGTTATTAATTTACCTCTCTCAATGTTGTTATTAACTCTATAGGTGGTTGCTCTTTTATTTGGTTATCGAAATTCGAATAGGGTTGGCTTTTTGGATCCAAACTAGGAATGGTGGCCTATGAGAGATATGGAGTTTACTTTTGAAACTAACAACAATTTTGATGATGAAACAACAATACTGATGTTCTCTTCTTATGTACAATAACAATAACAACTACTTGGGTGAGAAATGGACACTCACAGAGAGAATGGACTTGTTTTTTAGAGTTGTTAAGAATCACCAAGTGATTTCTAATCATCACAATCCGACAAGCGTAATCTTTATTTCAAGTGCTTTTCAAGTGTCATTCAAATTAATGCTAGTTTTGCCAAATACAATTGGTTGTATTAACATGATTATTCTTCTTACTACTAACACAAAACCTTTCAAATGAAATCTTAGATGAGAGAATTTTTAGGGATTAAAACTCCACGGCCTTTAAGTTCCTCCTTTTCTTCATAAGTAGTTCTTTTACTGTTTTGTTAAGGTTTAAATAAGGAAATTGTTTTCATTTTCCTTTAAGGAACAGGTTTTTAAGTTTGGATATGCATGTTAATTTTTGAACTCATTTCGATTTTAAGGAAGAATGAGAAAAGACAATTCAACCTTAATAACTACTGTTGTATCATGCTTCCAAGTTTTCTTGAAATTTATTGTTTTTCAAGTTTCCAATATAAATCTGTAATAAGTTCTTCCTTCTTCACTTGTGTGCAATCATTAATATATTCCTCCCAACATGGCTCTGTATGGACATAGCCACTCAATTTCTCTTTCATTAGCTTATTCCAAACACTAGACAGTCCTTCGTAAGGACCTACATATCTGAAGTAGGCATATTCTCCACTTGGCATTTCAGATAACTGAGCCTTTAATCCTTCATCATTTGGTTGAGAGTTTTCAACTCTATTCACTAGATCAGAATCAATACTCAATTCTTGATCGACAAATAACAAATGTTCGATATCGGCATCTTGTGGGCTGACAAATCTTGGAAAGGCTGTTACAGTTGGATAACATGTTCTATTCAAAACTGGTGAAATTAAACGAGAAGCTTCTTTGATCCATTTTGGAAAATCACCATCAGCAATTGAAATATTATTTCTTCTTACTCCAAGATATTTCTTAGCCGGAAGAGTAATAATTTTAATAGCAGTTTGATCTGTTGTGGTGGACATAATTTTTTTTGAATTGTGTGTTCGAATGATCATTGGAAGCTCCACTCCAAAATGTGTAACATTCATCGAGTAAAAACAAAATACAAAATGAATTTGAATAGAAGCTGGCAATATACACTATGCAACAATGAAATTAGCACTATGTTTTTGATAATAGACTGTTTGCAAGCCTTCCGAAGACCTTTGATCAAATCAATTAAAAATACAAAGAAGAATTTAAAAAAATTAAAATAAAAATATTAATAAAAAAATGTCCAAAAAGTCTCAAATGATTGATAACTCTGCAATAGGAGGATCATCATCGGGAAGAATGGTACCACTGGGAAATGCAAATCCTAACACTAATCGGACATCACCATTCGAACAAGCTTATATGCAACAAGGAGGATATTCCGTACCACAAAACCAACAATATGCTTCCCCTTTCGTACAACAACAACAACAATTTGGATATCATCCAACAAGTTTTTATGTAGCCCCAGGAAGTACTGGTAGTTCTCATGGAGTTGTAACATCTAGGAATCCTTCTGATAACATTCAATATCAATCAACTAATCAAAATGCCTTGATGATATTTAATACAATGGTACAACAATTTACTCAAATGAATAACTTGAGCGCAGATGATAAGAAGAAATGTGCCAAGATCGTAAATGGTAAGTAATTGATATTACTAGTTAGAATTAAAATTTCAAAAGATTATGATGACATTGTGACACAAATACTAGAGTTTCATAATTCGAATAATACATTACAAAAGGAATCTTTAATATTTGCTTGTTTTGATCAAATGTACTTATTATTTAATTCACCACAACAGCAACAACAAAACGATTTACGATATATTTATGTTAGTATGTCCTACTTGGCCAAAAAGAATGTAGAAGTTTTTGACACAATTAATATCAAACAAAAATTATTATCTTATTTATTCTTAACAAACAAACATTTCGGAACTGGAGCACCACCAAGTGGAACTGGAAATCCACAGGGTGGTACAGGTGGACCAAATCAACCAAATGTAGGAGCTTCAGGACCAAATGCACAAACTAGTGTTGTGAAAAAAGGCACTTATTTCTGTCTTATTTGTTGCGACATTTTATTTAAATTGTCTAATGGATTATTAAATGGAAGTGAAATGTTACAACAAGGAGATGTAACAAGTTTATTATCTGGGGAGGATATTTCATCAAATTCACCAAGCTCATCTAGTGAAGAATGGAATTGGGAATTCATTTGTGCACTGTTTAATGATTCTCTTGAGGATCGTATTTGGTGTGAACATGAATATGCCAAAGAGTTTGTGGATAATATTTTGAGTGGAATTAGGGATCCAGAAACGACTACAGTTGTCAACGATACCGAGTATGCTAATATTCCTTCTAGATATAATGAATATTCAACCCTAACTAAAGTTAAAGAAATAGTTATTTCAATATTGGATCAATTTAGAGGAAACACGAAGAAAAGACTTGAAAATATTATCAGATTTTGTACGTATTGTGTAAAAGTCAGAGAAGTTAGAAGTTTTGCAGCTAAGAATATGGAATCATGGCTCGGAAATACCAATTTACAAATTGTTAAATATGCTAAGGATTTATTAACGAGAATGTCTTTTTATATTAGAGAGGACCAACCAGATATGTTCCAAGAGGGAGATAGAGTTGCATTTGATTACATTGTAAATATGAAGTTAAAGCCAAATAATATTCAAACACAAGTCGATGCAGTGGCAAATATTGTAAAAAATAATGTTGCATTTCCAGTTATTGCTTTGAGAAAGTTTTTGCTTATGGAAGCACCTCCACACCATAAGAGTGGAAATACATTCAAAAACCTATTGACTATATTTAAAGCTATTCCATCATACAGAGAAAGACATTTGGGTTATACCCTTCAGGAAATGGTTGCTTCAGGTGATGCAGAATATTTCAAGACTTTTAAAATGTTAACAAGAAAGATAATTAAGAGTTCATATTATCCTCCTTCACAAAGTGCTTCTTCAGCAGCCAATGCTACAACAGGACAATTCGATTTTGTGGATTTATGCTCCAGTTTGTTTGTTGAAAGAGAACAAATGAAGCAACAAAATCTTCAGACGAGAAAAAGATGGATCACTAACCTATTCGAGCTGGTTAGAATGATTATTTTAAGTATTATTATTTCTCATAACCAAAAAGAAGTAGAAGATCAAGAATTAAGATTCAAAGTTTCTCTTATCCAAAACGACGCTATTGCATGGTGTAGAGGAAAATTACCGGTATATTTGGGTACGGATAAGGATGAGTTGAACTCGTTCTTACAAAAATTCTTGTTTTTCGATATTCAACAACTTTCTGATAATAATTTTATGCAAGCTGTATTGGGTGAACTGCCCCCAAATCCACCAGTAGCATTCGAGCAAATAAGATATTGGTTGGAGGAATTACCATGTGAGCAGGCTTCCCTTCTCAATATCCAAGAAATGGCTCTTGTTGATCAAAACTTGAAATATGCTGATGCTTTGTTTTTACTTCAAACTCAAGTTTTAAAATCCGCTAAATTCAGATATAGAATGGTGGCCACTAGGCAATTTTTACAAACGAACAACAAACCTTTACCTCAAGTATTGAATAGACCTTCATTATACGTTAGTTCTGTAGATATTATTAGAAATATGCTAGAGTTGTGTAAATATAATTCAAATATTCAACCACTTGATGAAAAGTTCACTGATGAAATAGTTTTAAGACAATGGTATTGGAACTCTGTTCTTGTATCTGTTATTATTATTTCAATGAATCCTCAAACACTATGTGAACCCATAATGAGCACTTTCCCAACATTTAGAAACATTATTGAATATCTTATCAAAAACCAATTACAGTTTATGGAATCTGACATTGAAAGTGAATATTTAGTTAGAGAAGAACGTGACATTATTGAGAGAATATTTAGAAAAAATAATCAACCATATGAAAATATTATGGATACTTTCATGTTACATGAAAGGACCCAAGTTGGTAATGGAGAGAGAAGAGTAATGCCAATTGCAATCCAAAGAGATTTGAGAAGGTATGAAGTGGAATTCCAATTGGGAAGATGCCTTAGAGGATGTAGACAACCTGATTTACTCATGCAAATGATACAAAAAGAACCTAACGTTTCTAATGCTATTGCATGGATAGATTCTATTATTCAAATATCTCAAGATGAGGCTCAAGTTACGATTCAAGTTTTACCTTCATCCATTTTATGTGAATATCTTGTGTCTATTTTGAAACGTAGAAACGACACACAAAACCAAAATCTTATTTTCCAAATTATTGAAAAGTTAAAGCTTTACTTGAGAGGAAGTGTGCAAGGTGATGCTGTAAATGTTTCAACATTTTTTATATCTAGGTTGGCAAACGAAGATTTTATGGAAAGAAAGTTATCACAATACGCCCTTTGTAAATTACTAGATGGATCGGAAAATAACGAATATGATTGGGTACTTGATATTGACAAACTTCAATTCGTAGATACCCAAATTTTATGGGAAACCTTCTCCAAGTTAATAATGATAGAAACAGATATTAATTTCCTTACATCATTCATTCATTTGATGCAACTCAAGAGACTAGATTTCAATTTATGCCTAGAGGTTTCTAATATGCTTACTAAGAGGAGATATTTTTCTGAAAAGTTGTTAGTCAATAATTTTAGAGAAATTTCCCTAACTTTGCAAGAGGTATTTTACATGTCTTTCGATATTCAAACACAATCAAATATTCAGACATTTGTTGATCCACAAGAATTGATTGTCATTCAATCTATGAATAGTACACTAACCTCTTCTATCAATTTTTTGAATGGGCTATTAGCCTTTGTATCCATTATTTATTCCATTCCTACATTATCAACTACTGATAATTTTATGCAAGTGCTTTCCCTGATACAAAAATCTTCCTATTATTATTTTGAAAATAACCCACAGGACACAAGATCATTGGTTTCTAAGGAATATGCTCTTATTTTTGTTGGTTCACATGCTACTAACCTTGTAGATATTGGAGTATCAATGTTAAACGTAACTGACATGTTACTCTTGTTAAATGGAACTCATTTCTTGACTGATTACTCAATGTGCTCTATTTATTCACGTCTTGCTAGTGTAACAGAATTTTTTTCATACGCTAATTCCTTACAACCAAACGAACGTCAAGACATTCAAAGCTTTTTGAAAATGTCCATTCTTCATGGAAAGAATCCAGATTATGCACAATTACAACAACTTATTTTGTACAGTATTGAAATCAACATGAAAGAAGAATCAGAATTCAATGAAAATATTTGTTTTGATGCTTTTGTTAGAACAGAAAATGTTGAAAACTCAACCCTAATGACAGATGATGAAGAGTTTATTATTCAAAGCTATTCTGATGATGCCACTTTCTCTCATATGTATGCCTTTACAGCAAATAGTTTGGTAGAATTATTTGCATCAAGCAGATCTAAAAGAGAGGAGGAAATAATTTCCATTCTCAACTTTATTTCTTTCATTAATCATTCTACAGGTTTAAATTCCAGAGTTTCAGATGTGGAAAGAAATTCAGAGCTTTTATCATCACTTGTTATTGCACTTGGTAATTATTACCAAGACAGCACATTCTTCGATGAATTCCATAATGGTTTTGGGCTTTATTGTTTAATTAACATTTCCTTACATACAAATTTATTGAATGAACCTGCAAGTGAATGGTTTAATTACTTGGTCAAGGCATTTTATTGTGTCAATAATCAGACATACTCTTTACATTTGGGAAATTCAATTTTATCTTCTTTTGTAGAACATTTAGATAATACATTGCAACTAGAGACACCAAATATTACAAGTATTGCAGAAGACAAGGATCTATCTCTCTATCAATACAGTATTGAAATGAAATCATACGATGGAGAAGTACAATTGAAACAAGATTTTGAGTCACTTTCTCCGTTATTGGTGAAATTAATTGGTTCCGGTTCGAGTATTTCTGAATATATTGTGAAATGGATTGTTGAAAATTCAACCTCCAACGATTTGTCCATGCTTTCTAAACTTTTTTCATTAATGCAACCTAATGATCTGCAGGCAACTCTCTTGAGTGGTTTATTTTTGGACTCTATTTCCCAAAATGATCCATCCAGCTACTCAAAGACAACACAAAATGCATTATTTGTCTCAAATCCAGAATTTGATTCGATTAGACCTTATGTTTCCACATTTTTAATGACATCAATGATTCATTCAAGTAGTAGACAAGAGTTGACTGTACATTTAAATGAAATTTACAAGGTTTCAGAGAAAGATCTTCTCGTCAAGTCAACACTTAGATTCATTCAAGTTTATAAGGCCATGACAAATATTGATGATATTTATACAAATAGTAGATTGAAATTGCCAATAACCTTAAAGTCAGATATTTGCTTATTTGTGACATCATGTATTCTTTCTCTGTTGAAGGAAAATATGAATGGAAGCTATGATACAACTCTATTGACAATGTTGAGCGAATATCCTTATTCAGATTACTTGAGTTTATTAGTAGATATCATGTCTCAAAGTGAAAAGAATTTACAAGTTACAGTCAAATTTTTGATGAATCAACTTGATGATGAAAAGAGTCAAACTTTGCTAAGATGGATTTATTGCTGTTTCCCAACTCAGCTTTCTAATGAATTACAAAAATTGGATAACTTGAACGAGTTACTAACTCCAATAGTTTCAAATGAGTCACTTTGCAAGAATATGACAACTAGTTTGGATGCCATGCTTCATCGTTTGGGACATTTGTTATCCTACTATTCATATACCGATAATGTTGAAATTTCTAACTTTGCATTCTCAATGTTTAGACAAATAGCTTTCTTGTATCCTTACCTGGTTATCAGATACTTGGATAATATTTTAGCCCTCATTGAAACTAACTTTAGTTCTAGCAAAACTTCAACTGAGGAGTTGAGACCAATTCTTAGAATCAGTACTCAAATTCTTGCCATTTTGGATGCTCTTAGACCTCATCTATTCAATTTCAAGGATATCTTGATCCAGATCTTGGAAACCTACTTTACTATTCTGAATCAATCCTCTATGATTGTTAATAGCGATCAACATTTATTTGTAGAATTTGTTTCCAAGTTTATGGATTTTGTTTGCAATTACATATTATTTGAAGGTTACAAGTCTAACATGGATACACTCAACTTCCTTGCTAACCAAAAGGATTTAATAATCAAGATTCAAGAAATTTTCCCTGAAATACCTAAAATCAAATATTTATTGAATATTCTACATCAACTTGATAACATTCAAGAAGAAAATGCCTTTTTACTTATTAACAAGAAGCAATTCACATTATTGCCAGTTACTGAGGAAGAAATATTCCAATTCCGAATCAGATTGAATTATAATCAATTCTTAACTTTACAAGACTCTACTGTCAATTCCACATTTGCCTCACATTTAACAACAAATCTTAATCATAGAAATGTGCATCATTTGAATGGAGGTAGTAATGGAACACTAAATGGTTCTTCTTCAGCAATTGTTGTATCATCATCATCTATGGCCAAAGAATATTCTTCCAAATTACATTATAATAGTTCTCAGTTAAAGTCAAATAATAGAATGTTAATGGATACATTGACAGATATTGATTCAATTTCACAATATGAACCAGGTATTCTAGTTCATTTCATTCCTCAATTATTAGATTTATTAATTGTGAAGAGTAATAGACAAGTTATGGAAATTAGTTATCAATTATTAATAAGATGTTTACAACATGATTCTAAACAACATGTTACAATCATTCCATTCTATCTTGATTGTCTTGTTCATGAGAATACCAATGTTAAAGATATTGCTATCAAGTATGCTTATGATTTATTCCCATTCTGTAATACAAATGAATCCAAGCAAATTTTATTAGAGAGATTATTTATCATTGCTGAGAAGGAACCTCCACGTGTTTTACATGCCAATCTTAATCCAACCATTTCTCAAAATGCCATGAGAACTCTTACCAAGATTATTGATATGTTAATTAAAATAAATTAATCCTTATGTTGAACATGACTTAAATAAGCATTCCATAATATAGCAATACTATTAACAAATAAAACTCTATATTGTAATGGAATTAAAGTAAAATTAATCATTTGAGCAGCAGGCCAAATATACCAATTGACAACAAGTGTTGGCCACATATCCACTTTCAATTTATCCAACACTGATTGAAATGTTTTTCCTTCAACAAGTCCCATATATGTTAAAAATTGTACAAGTGAAAATGGTGCAAATAAACTTTGATCTACAACCATTTGTCTAATAGCATTCATTGTTTTATCTCTATTCGTTGGAATGTAACCTGTTGCAAATTTCTTAGCAACATATTTATCTAATACTTTATACCACAAATGAAGTGTTGGTCCAATCACAAATAAACCATAACTAGCCATTTTCAATACACGTACATAATCATATTGATGATGATGATGATGAATAGGTGGCTGATTGTTAGCCTCCGATAAATATTGTTGTTGATTTGGATGATTAGGATGATTGTTCATTTCCAAGGTTTGTGTAAGTAAATCACCTAATCCAACCAAGAAGGCACTACTGATGGATTTTGTGAGAATTGGTCGTGTATCTAATTGTCTCAAATACCATGCAGTGAATCTTTTCATTTTTTTTAATTGTTTTTTTTAATTTGTCAATATTACCAAAAAGGAAATTAGTTTTGAATGAACAATACAAATGCAATTATTTACTCTATGGATATCTTTGTGTAGTAGTCGATTGAATCTTCAAGTTTTTTTCTCAAATCCTCTTATTTTCCTCAATTTTCCAATGTACCACAAAGAGAGAGAGGACTTGTTAATCGGAAACATGTAAGAAACTTAAAGAAGGTTCAAAACAAAGTAAACGTTCATAAGTGCTAACTTTTAATCTCTTTAAAAAAAAATGTTCTCATCCAACATACAAGAATCATTGTCATCTTTTCCAAATGATGATAATGATGACCATGAAATTACAACACCATTATCAAATAATAATAATATACTAGTTGAATATGATAATAATAGTAATCAATGTAATCAATGTAATCATCATATTTCCATGTATATTCTCTATGAAATTTGTTTATTTCTCAATGTTCATGATATTTATCGGTTAATGATTTGTCAAGTTGATTGGTTTAATTATTTACATGACTATAATAGGGAAAATATATTTCTAAAATTGGTAGAATGTAGATTTGTTAGATTTTTATCACATTCTAGAATTTCATTTATGAAAAAGTTTGCAAATGGAAAGGAATTAAATTTGATTAATTTAAAAGATTCCAAATATGGAATTATTTCAAATAAGGAGGATTTGAAAGTTTGTCTAAGATTTATGATGAGATTTAATTATATTGATTTAATTATTGAAAATAGAAATGTTGGAGTTTCAGATTTTTTACTATATGCAACTTGTAATTCCAAATATGGAATTATTAACAAAATATGTGAAGATGTAATTGATGATAAACAATTATATTTAATACATGGATATAATGATAATAATTCAATTTCAATTTTAGATATAAAACCAATGGATATTACCAAAAATAGAAAGTTACAAATTTCACATGATCGTGATTTTGATTTTTCAAATTCTTTTAAAAAATCAAGAAAGGAAAAGTTTAGACAAGTATTTAGTTCTCTAATTTATAATTATAATATTAAAAAGAGTACATATTTACCTTTAGATTTAATTATTGAACAAGAATTAATAATTCCAAAAAAGGAATTAGTAATTAATGTTCCAAAATTATCATTTTTTGATATTGGAGATGATTCTTTGGAATATTTTTCAGATTTACCATGTGATGTACATATTGGAAATTCTTTTAAAAGTTTAAATTATAAATTTAACTTTCCAAATTTGGTAAAAGGATGTTTTAACATGTTACCTGAAATTATATTTTTAATTTTACTAATTTTATTATTATGTAATTTTAATACTTATATGGATATTGTATTATTTACAAATATGAGACAATTATTTTATCAACAAATGGGAGAAGATTACTTAATTTGGAATTTATTTAAATTTTTTGGTTTACTATTTGGAAATATTCTCGTTACAATTTGTATTTGTTTAATTATAATTTCTAAATTTGTTTCTAATAGAGTTTCACCTTACATGTTTTTATTTACTATATTTGGATTAATTACTAATTATTATATTATTGATAGAAATGTAATTCCAAATTTAGTATTACCTATTGTTGAATTATTAAATTTTATTTTTATTTATACAATATTATCAAGTACAATTTTACCAAAAATTAAATCTTTATTTAAAGCTATTAATATAATTTATTTCCATATTAAAAATATTGGAAATTAATGTAAATTTTCAACCATCTTTTTCAATCCTTTCAAATCACTTCCAATTATAACTTGTACCATATTCTTTCCCTTAAATGATTTAAATGTTGGAAAACCATCAACGTTAAATGCTTTACATTGTTCTTGACATTCATCAGCATCAACTTTGAGGAAAATAATATCTTGTTCAATACTTGATAAATATCCAAAAAGTGGAGCAATAGCTTGACAAGGACCTAATAATTATTTTAATTAGTTCACAACACAAATTTGTATATACCATATATTTAATTAACAAATTGTAAATATCAAATAAAAACTTACCACACCATGTTGCTGTAAAATCAACAATAACCTTTTCATATCTTTCCAAATAATAACTATCAACAGTTTCATCTGCTTTCAAATGTATAGTCTTTCCTGCCTTGTATTGTTCAAGTAAATCAATCATATCTTGAAGAGAGACACTCTTAATCTTTTCCAGTAGCTCTTTCATCTTGCTTTTATCCTCTCCTTTCACAAGTTCTTTCAATGGAATTGAAAACTCTTCAGCTGGATGTTTATAATCTGGCAAGATTGAACGAATGGAATGTAAATTGTTTTCAACTTTCCATACAGCTAATTTGCATTCATCAATAAGTGCTGCCAATTCATCATATTGAGTTACTTGTTCCAAATACTTTTCCATATCAAATTTATGAGTGCATGATTCATGAATCCATGTCAATAATTGTTTGGCAGTAATGCATTCATCATTAACATAAGCATCTCCAATAATGGGTGTCTTATTAGCTGCACTAAAGAATGTTAGCTTTGGGAAATACTTTTCTTTTGGAAAATATTCAAGAGAATAATCATTGTAAGCAGAATTCATTCTACCAATAACCAAATTAGGTTCATTTTGGAGAATTTTAGCCATTGTTGAAATGAAATTTCCTTCAAGAGTTTCATTAAAGCAAAGTGCAACAAAAACATCCTTCTTTGAATCCATTACAATTTCATCAAATGTATCATAAACAATACTCTTTAAATGTTTCATCTCTGGAGAATATTCATCATTTTCATGTCTAGTTTCTCTACCAATATATCTCACAGCCTTACCATCAAGAATTGACTTTAAAAATTGTGTCAAACTTTCCCTAGTAATTTCCATACTACTTGTATCCATGAGATATCTCTCCTTAGAAGGAAATTTAAAGGCCATGATGGTTTTAGGCTTAGCATCCTTTGCAAAATGTAATTTTCCTTGAATTGATTCTCTATCCATATCAGACTTGATGAAATTAAAGTTTGTTCTCAACCAAGAATCTTCAGCTTGTTCATCAATCATTTGATCAATTTCATCAAGAAAACAAGCATCGGAAGGAGAATAATTAATCAACACATTGAATTTTTCTTCCTTTGTAAATAGCTCTCTTTCATAAGTATCAGATGAAATGTGAGTATGTTCAGTCATTGTGTTATATACCGATAGGGAGAGTTATAATTACACTAAGGTGTTGTGGGTTTTTTTCTTATTTAAAGGCTTTAGTAGTTTAATTGTTTGCGAGATAAAGTATTTTTAATTAAGGTGAAGACAAGTTCATAGAGAACACATAGTACTGTTTGGTACCTATAATAAACCGATATTATGAATATTCATAAAGTGTTAATTAGTAAAATGTGTCGTCCTTTTATTGAATTATCTCTTTTGATTCTTCAAAGTGAGATAAACATCGACAAGTTACATCAAGAATTTTTCAATAGTATTGCTCTCTTGTACGAGGACTATTTGATATATTCAATTTTGTCAAGGCATTTTGGTTGTTGTTTAATTCAACATGTTCAAGGTGATGCAATGGAATCCAATATTCACAATGATGGATTCCAATGACTTTACCCTCAGTATTGAATAAAATACCTATTACTAAGGGAAGTTAATATTGCACCTGAAATTCTACTCCATTGTTCCCTCCAAGATTTTGGCCATTTCTAGAATAATTTTTAAATTTGAGTAAAGAAAAATTTGTGTTGTTTTGTTTTTTCAGTTGATGTAAAACATATATAATCTACCTATGAAGCATTAGCCTTCAATGTTGGCAGTTTGGCATCTTACCATCTTCTTCATCTTTAAAAAGATGTTCAATATTATTATTATAATTACTTTCTCATCCAGTAAATAAAGTTTTCAACAATTCTGGTTTTCAGCACCATAGGAATATAACTTTCGTTATGTAATCATCGCAAAGTAAATTTA